CTGGAAATGCCTAGAGTGAAGGGGCCTCTAGGAAGAGGTATGTGTGTGTTTCAGTCACTCAGTTGTGTCCAACTCTTTGTGACCCCATGGACTGCACCACGCCAGGCTTCCCTCTTCATCACCAACTCCCAAAGCTTGTTCAAACTCATGTCCAGTGAGTTGATGATGCGATCCAACCATCTCATCCTCTGACATCCCTTTCTCCTACTGCCTTCAATCTTTCCCAGTATCAGGGTCTTTTCCAGTGAGTCAGTTCTTCACATCAGGTGGCCAAAGTATTGGAGCTTCAGCTTCAGCATCAGTCCTCCTAATGAATATTCAGAACTGATTTCCTTTAGGATTGATTGGATCTGGTTGGATCTCCTTGATGTCCAAGGGACTCTCAAGAGTCTTCTCCAACACCACAGTTCAAAAGCACCAGTTCTTTGGTGCTCAGTTTTCTTTATGGTCCAACTCTCACATCCATACATGACTACTGGAAAAACCATAGCTTTGACTAGACAGACCTTTGTTGGCAAAGTAATGTATGCTTTTTAACAGAGCAGTGGGTGTCCAATTACCTGGGGCCACCACCAGGTGGCGCCACGTGCAGCGGACTTGGAGTGTCATGAGCTTAGTCGCTCAGTCCTGTCACACTCTCTGAGATCCCATGGACTGTAGCCCACCAGGCTCCTCTGTCCGTGGGGATTCTCCAGGCAAGAATACTGGAGTGGGTTGCCATGCCCCCTTCCGGGTTATATTCCCAACTCAGGAATCAAACCCAGGTCTCCTGCCTTGCATGTGGATTCTTTACCATCTGAGCCACATGGTACCCTCCTAAACTGGATCTTATGGGCCTCAGTGGCCATATGGGTTTCTAGCCACTATCACCACACCAGACACACATCACTCCCCCATGGGACCTGTGACTGCTGGTGTCTAGGACCCTTACCCAGTGGTTTTCAGACCAGGGGAGGGAGGAGTCTTAGCCTGGCAGCATCAGTGATTCAGCTGGCACTTGGTGCTGCTAGAGCAGCCCTCCTATAGCCTACACAGTGACAAGTGTACCCTGAGTGTTAGGGGTACTTTGAGGACAAAGAACTAAAGTGGCTTCTCTTCTCTGGGGGGTGGTACACCACACAGCATACAGCATCTTCCCCAACCAGGGAACGAACTCATGCATTGGGAACAGAGTCTTAACCTCAGAGTCACTAGATCACTGGTGAAGCCTATAAAATAGCTTATCTTGAAGGCCCCTCCCTGTGCTTCCTCCATTAAAAAAAAATCCCTGCAATTCTTGTCCTTCCTTCCAAGTGGCCCCCCCATTCCTGGACACTCTCATCTATCACACGGTTTTGTCATTCTGGGGGTCAGATCATGATGTGCTGCTGTTATGGCACTGGTCAAGGCAGGAGCGCTGTCCCTCCCAATGCCCATAAGGATATCTCCATGGGAGTCACCTGTGAGCACCCATCCTTGCTGACCATCTTCTCAGACTCCTTTCTGAGGATGCCACTCAAAGTCAGGCTGAGATACAGGCCTTCTCTGTCCTTTCTGGGCTGCACTGTGTCCACTGGATCCCCCCAAGCATCTCTAGAGAGCCCGTAACCAGCAAGAACACATTTTTGGAAGATCTAACACTTAGCAGGCATCATGCCAAGCTTTGTCTGCATGTTTAATCCCACAGGGATGCTATGAGAGAGGCACAACACTACACCCATTTTACAGCTGAGAAAATTGAGGCAAATGGAGGTTCTTTTTGTTTTGCTTATTGTTATGGTTTTTAACTTAATTATACTTTTAAAGTCTATATTTGGCTGCAGTGGGTCTTTGTTGCGGCACATAGACTTTCTCTAGCTGTGGTGCATAACTTCTCATTGCCATGGCGTCTCTTGTTGCAGAACGCAGGCACTAGGAGCATGGGTTTCAGTAGATATGGCACACGGGCTTACTTGCTCCATGGCATGCAGGATCTTCCTGGACCAGGGATCGGACCCATATCCCCTGCATTGGCAGATGGATTCTTATCCACTGGACCACCAGGGAAGTCCTGGTTTGCTTTTTTATTTGCCTTGCCCGAGGTGAGAGGTGACACAAACAGTAAGGGGCAGAGCTCAGAGGCAGATGCTCCTGAGCCCTTCCTTCTTCCCTCTGCCCCTGAAGTTCCCTCTGCCCAGAGCACCTCCAGTGTTTCCCACCCTCCAGATATCAGTTTAGGGGCTCCCTCCCCCACCTGGAGATCCTTCTGCTGGGATCAGGCATCTGCCCATCCCAGTTACATGGAAAACAGCTGTTCAGACCCCTCTTCCCACTCAAGGGCAGGGACCCAGGTGAAATGTGTCCCCACTGTACCCTAAGTGTTCTCAGCTTCCTTAAAGCCTGCATCCCTGAATTCTGTCCACTGGGTTGTCTTACCTAAGTTCCCTTGCTTATAAACGACTCCTTCCTCCAGATAAACCAGCAAAACCCCCAGAACTCTTCTGATGAAGGGAACAGCCTTGGGGGGCTAGAGTAGAAACTTTAAAATCTGGGGTAGGGACTTCCCTGGTGATCCAGTGGTTAAGAATCTTCCTGCCAATGTAGGGGACACAGGTTTGATCCCTAGACTGGGAAGATCCCACATGCTGCATAGCAACTAGGCCCTGTGCCACAATTACTGAGCCTGTGGTCCGGAGCCCGGGAGTTGCAGCTGCAGAGCCCACGTGCCACAACTACCGAAGCCTGCAGACTCTAGAGCCTGTGCTCCACTAAGAGAAGCCATGGTAATGAGAAGCCCATGGACCCCAACTAGAGAGTAGCCTTCACGCGCCACAACCAGAGAAAGCCCACACAGCAATGAAGATCCAGTGCAGCCAAAAATAAGTAAACACAATTAGAAAGAAAGGGTTAAAAAAAAAAAAACTAGGGTAACTGGAATTTCCTGGAAGTCCAGTGATTAGGGCTCTGTGCTTCCACTTCAGGAAGCATGGATTCGATCCCAGGTTGGGGATCTAAGATCCCGCATGCTGCAGGACATATATAAATAAATAGTGAAAGTGAAAGTCGCTCAGTCGGGTACAACTATTTGTGATCCCATGGGCTATACTGTCCATGGAATTCTCCAGGCCAGAATACTGGAGTGGGTAGCCTTTCCCTTCTCCAAGGGATCTTCTCAACCTAGGGATTGAAACTAGGTCTCCCGCATTGCAGGCGGTTTCTTCACTAGCTGAGCCAAACGGAAGCCCAAATAAATAAACAAAATTTGGGGTAACTGAAAAGAGAGTTTTCTCCCCCACCCTTTAGGCTTCAAAATGGTGGTCCACAGACATGGACAGGGCTGTTCTAGGAAGAACCTTCCTCCCCAGGAGTCAGGTTCAGGGTCTCTCAGCCAGGATGCAGATGTTGGTGCAGGGAGGGGGCCTGTTGGTCAAAGCTGAATGAGCCAGTGTGTGTGGCCCAGGTGTGGTAGGTGGGGATCAGTGAGTGATCCATGAGATCATTTTCTTTGAGCCCCTAAAGAATCATTAATGACCTCAGAGGAGACCTGCCCATAGGAGCCCTGAGCTCAACGACTGGAGGAGACAGTGGTTTAGGCATCCCCAGGCCCTACTCTGCTAAATATGCTGATTTATTCTAATAGCTAGGCCAGTCATGGGGTGTAAAGCAGGTGAGAGCCAAAGGGCCCTCAGGGTACAGCATGTACAGCGTGTATTCCACACACGGTCGTCAGTCTGGTCTGGGCAGCGCGAGCGCCCCCACTCGCCAGGTTGCTCTTCCTTTCCTGAATGGCGCGCTGCCCTCTCAAGCCCTGCGGGGGGAGCACGCGGCCTGGGAACTTCGGCCAAACGTCGAAGGGGGGGCTCGGAGATGGGGGTTTGGGCGGTGGAGGGGATGGGCCCCCTCCAGCACCCGGGACAGCGCCGGTCCGCTCCACCCTTTGGTTCCTCCTCTCGGCCGGGGTCCGCGGGTCCAGCCCGCCCTCCTCCCGTGGGTCGGCCTGGCGGTCCGCCGTGCTGGCCGTTGCCCGGCCAGCCGGTTGAGGGCGGGCAGCCTCGAGCAGATGGGCGGGGGACGCCCAGCCAGTTTGCGGCAGCAACGGCCACGCGGCGCGGAGGCGGGCCCCGGGGCCGCTGGGGCCCGGGCGGGCTTGGAGAGACGGCGCCCAGGACCGCCCCGCCCCGCCCGTCACGTGAGCTCCGACTGTCCCGCGGGTGGGAGCCCGGAGCTGGAGCCAGTGAAATGAAAATGAGCTCCGAGTGCTCCTGGGTTGCCTCGTCTTCTCTGGGCCTCAGTTTCCCTATGCAAAACCGAGGACGGGGGTGTGGGGGCAGGTGGTCCCTAAGTCGGTGAGGGCCAGAGGACTCTACCGAACCGCAGGGGGCTTAGTCCTGCCTGGCCAATTTCCAGCCGTTGGAGCCGGAGCGAGTTGAGATCTCTTTCCGGCCTCGGTCTCCCCTTCCAGCCCCGCAGCCCAACTGGTGGGGCAAGTCCCTCCCCGTAGTAGAAACCTGAGCTGAGTAGTAACTCCCTGACGCCGGGGACTTGGGGGTCCCGCCGCCTCTGGGTCCCCTGCCCAGGCCCAGGGCGGGGCTCAGAGGAGCCGCTGATCTCGAACGAGGGAAGAAGGGCGGCGCTGGACAAGGAAGGGCAAGGGCCTGGCCGCAACCTCTTCCCTCCAGCCCACACACACCCCCGCAGGTGCTCTGGCAGGAAGGTGCCCCAGGCCCGCGACCCCGCCGCAGATGGGACGCCAAGGCCTGGAGAGGGATCCCCGGGGCTCCGCCGTCCCCCCTCCCGCCCCCACCCCGCGCTGGAACAAAGGCGGAGGTGGGACCCACAGGCGGCCTGACTCCGCGGGGCGGGGCGGGGCGGGCCCGCTGCCTCCTTAAAGCCAGGCTGCGGGCGTGGCGCGCGCACCACTGGCTCCCGCTCGGGTCGCGCCCCGGACCTCCCTGCGGGCCTCGGTCTCCGTTCGGTGTCCGCGCGCTCGCGCGCAGGTCTGCACGGGTTGGCCCCGCAGCGGCACCAATTTCCCGCCGAGCATGGGGCTGCCTCGGAGGGCAGGGGACCCGGCGGAGCTGCGCAAGGTAGGAGCCAGGGGACTGGCGACTGGGGGCAGAGTGGCGGGGGCGGGGGCCTGGACGTAACCGCGGCCTACACGCCCGCTTGCAGAGCCTGAAGCCGCTGCTGGAGAAGCGGCGCCGCGCGCGCATCAACGAGAGCCTGAGCCAGCTCAAGGGGCTCATCCTGCCGCTGCTGGGCAGGGAGGTGAGTACTAGGGCCTCGGGGCCCCGCCGGGCGCACTGGGGCTGGGTGTAGGGGTCCCTGGGCGCGGGGCGAGGAGACCGGGCGGGTGGAGATCCTCTTGCCCCCGGAGCCAGTAAGTGGCCAATGCGCGGCGCGCAAGGCTCGGGGAGGCCACCCACCGCGGGCCACGGCGCACGGAGCACCCAGCTCCTGGGAGCGCGGTGCTCACGGCAGCCTGCGGGAGGTCTGTCTTGTTTTTGCGTTTCTCTGTCCCTTTCCTTCGTGGCCTGGCACAGAGCTCCCGCTACTCTAAACTGGAGAAAGCGGACATCCTGGAAATGACCGTGCGCTTCCTGCAGGAGCTGCCTGCGTCCTCCGGCCCGACGACGGCGCCCAGTGAGTGACCCCACCCCGCCCCCGCCCGGCCCCGCGGCCTGCGCCCAGCGCTCCAGCCCGCGCCTGACGCCGCTCTCCGTCCGCAGCACCCTCCGACAGTTACCTCGAGGGCTACCGAGCGTGCCTGGCGCGCCTGGCTCGCGTGCTACCCACCTGCCGCGTCCTGGAGCCTGCCGTGAGCGCTCGCCTGCTGGAACACCTGCGCCGGAGGGCGGCCAGCGCCACCCCCGACGGCGGGCGCTCTGGGGACCCCTGCGGCCCGCCAGCGCCCTCCCCGCCGCCCGCCCCCGTGCCCTCACCACCCGAACCTCCCCGGAATCCGGGTCTCTGGAGGCCCTGGTAGCCCCCAGGGCCGTTCTACGGACCCTGCTGACTGCGCGGGATCAGGAGTGCTGGACAGACTCAGGAAGCTCTTGGAGGCGGCTCCCGTTCCCACCACGACGGACAAGCCTGGTACTTACAACCGGGGCAGATCCGGATGTCTGTGATCTGTGCTGGCAGACAAGTCCACCGGGACTCAGAAAATAAGGGGAGAGGCCCAGGTTCAGCCCCAGCTTGGGATGTCTGGGCTAGAAAAAACCTCCTGCCTCAGCGGGTGGAAGGGCTCGGGAGCTGGGCCAGTCACAGCTGCCCCCGAAGCCCACACACCTGCCCCTGCGCTGGCAGCAGCCCAGGGGCTGGGCCAGGAGCTCACCTGAGCCAGGTGCAGCCATCTGCTCTGACTGGTCACTGCTCTCCCAGCCCCGCATGAGTCTGCCTCCTCTCCAGCTCATCCTGGGAACCTCTGGGCAGATGGCAGCAGTTGCCTGAAGGGCTCTGCAGGTGGGGGAGACTTGACCTCCACTCCTGGCTTCCTGCCTAAAGCTTCCAGTTAATTATAGGGACAGGATGCCACCAGGGCTGTGTGCCTAGAGGTGGGGGCTTCCTTAGGTAGGCTCAGGAAGGATTTATTCCCTCAAGCACTAAGTTAACACCTGTGCACCGCACACCAAGCCCCATGGTCTTGGGGTGTGAAGAGGGATGCTACAAGAGTGAGGATGCCCTGTGGCCTGGAGGAAGCTTGCTGCCTTGAAGGGCCGGGCCTGGGGCCCAGCACAGAGCTGGTGCTGATGAGGTTAGCCTGGGGCAGCAGAAACTCAGAGGATGACATGGCAGGTTGAGGAACAGGAGTCCACTTTTCTCATTTTCTCTTTTGAACTGCTCTCTGCTACTGTCAGGACAGATAAGTGGAAGCAACTTGTTCTGAAGACTTTTCTTGCTTCCCCATGGAAGCCAGAGAGACTTTGAAGGTCTGGAGGGGAGGGGGAGCTGTGGATCCCAGCAGTGGGTGCCAGGTAATCACCTGTTTCCGCCCCTCCCCCCCACTCAGTCATGTTCCCAGCGTCTCCTGGGGCTTCACGGAGCATTTATGGGAGATGGGCAGTCCTCCCTCCCCATCCCCAGTCCAACAAGCCTGTGTGAGGGACTGGGGCACTGGGGGCAAGAAGATAGAGCTGATGGGGGGGTCATTAAATTGAGCTATATGCCACAGAAATCCGTGATGACCTAGACACTGACTCCAGTGGCAGGTTTTGGGGAGGCTGCGGGCATCATTGAAGAAGTCAATGTTAAGACAGGAGGGTGAGCTCCTGGCAAGGTGGGCCATCCTACCACCTGTCTGGGGCAGCTGGCTGGACTGTATGCTCCTGGAGGGCAGGGCTGAGGCCAAGTGTACCTCTTTGTCCCCAGGGAACTTGGCACATGGCGGGTGCTCAATAAACATCATGAGCTAATAAACAGGTGGTGTGACTGGTCCATGCTCTATGGAACCCCCAACAGCCTGGTTTTTGGCTCGACTCCCGCCCTCCAGATCCCTAACATCCCTTTGAAAAGCTGCTGCACCAGAGGACAAATGTGGGGGAGGGTGTGGAGAGAAGGGAGGGCAGTCCCTGGGAACACAAGCCTGTGTGCCTGAGTGCCCAGGAGCAAGTGGAGGGGGGCAGGTAATCCACAAGCCCACGTCCACTTCGTGAGTTCAAGTTTCCTCCTTGAGTCAAGGACTGCCATCCCTCAGGCACACCCGGGGTAGGCTCCTTGTCCCTTTAAATAAGAACTTTCAATAGGGCTTTAAACTTGGTAAGAACTGACTCACTAGAGGCCACTGCTTTCTTCTGAGCCCATCTGGGTCCCCAACTCTGTGACTCTTGTTGACCTGGCCCCAGTCAAGCCATAAGACAGACGGTCAGGGGGCAGGTGTGTTTAGGCCAGTGACTCACAGGGTCAAGCATTCCGGGGTTCTGAGGCCAGTCAAACCCTGGCAAAGAGATGAGGCATGCCCAGGCGGATGAGGTTCTGCGCCCGAGGCAAGAAGCTGGTTTCTCAGCAGGGACATGCAGGAGTTGCCTAGAAGGTCTCAGCTGGCCCTCCGAGCTGGGCTTGTGAAATAGGGACACCAACAGCCCTCCTCCACAAGGCATCTGCCGGCGCCTCCCTCAGGCAACTCCCCAGGTATTCCCAGGGCACTGTCTCGTGGTCAAAGGTGAGCCCTGGGCAGAGTGGGCTCGCTCAGGAGCATTGAATGACCCTTACAAGGCTCATGGGGTGCTCAGCAGACAGCTCTTGCGACGTTCTCTCTGCTCTGGTCCTGTGACTGAGACTGGCTGCGTCTGGTTATCATGCTTGGTTGGAGAAAAGGCTCCCACGCCTCAAAAACCAGTGGGTGAAATGGTCCAATGACCTAACGACGGCGGGAGCACTGAGCTGTCAGTTGGAGCACTGAGGAGACTCAGACTGGGGCCAGGTCGCACCCAGCCCGCTGGCACTAGTTACTTGGGAGAAGGCAGGTGTGGTTTCCATGAGTGAGAGAAAAGAGCAGGTTACCAAGGAGGACTCCTCTAATAAACATTTACAAATTGCTCTGCTCTGCCTGGGAAGCCCAGATTCCAAGACTGAGTCTTCCACGGGTTTATCTAGAATAGGATCGGAATGAACACAGCCTGTGGGGAACGTCTGGAAAAATCTGCACCTTTGAAGAGTCCTCCCCAGCATGGTTGGGGGCGACCACTCTGGAGACAGGGCAACACAGAGGGGGCTGTCCCTGCTGTGTGTAGGCAGCCACCTCATGCATCAATAAGCAGTTTCGTATTGACTTTTTTATTTTTAATATTTATTTATTTGGTTGTGCTTGGTCTTGTGGCATTTGGGATCTTCAATCTCCATTGTGGCATTCAGGATCTTTAGTTGTGGCATGGGAGATCTAGTTCCCTGACCAGGGATCAATCCTGGGAGCAAGGAGTCTTAGCCACTGGACCATCAGGGAAATACTTACTTTTTAAAAACATACCAGGTTGCTATAGCCGGCCCAGCGAACTAACTCACCCAGTGGTGTTATTTCCCTTGGTTTTACTTCTTGTCTGGCCCCCTGCCAGCGTGGCCGTGACCCTGGGGTGCGTGTGCCTGTGTGTGTGTGTCTCCCTGAGCAGCCAGGTGGCCGCCCTGCAGAGAGCTGCCTGGACATGCGAGGGAGGGGAGAAGGCAGCCACCCACCAAGGGTTCCCGGGAGCAACTGGTTTCACTTTGGGTTTTGAGAGGCCCTGGCAGAGCCCCATGCTCTTAAAGCAGCTATAGTAAAACTCTGAATGGTTTCAGGAGCGTGAGAAAGGCACTAGAGGGCACGCCCTAGAAGCATATGTGGTGTCTTGTTACAGAAGGTCCATTGGAGGGCAGTAGGGAGCAAGGGCTTGGTGGCTGGTCACAGGACCACACTTTGTGAGCCCAGGGTACCCTGGTCTGGGGCTAAGGAAGGAGAGTTTCAGCTGATTATGTGCCCACTGCTGGTTCTGTTTGGAGGGTGGGCAGGAGAGCCCTATGTCTTGGTGCTCAGTACATTAAAAATGTCTGGAAAAAAAAAAATGTCTGGGAAGGGACTTCCCTAATGGTCCAGTGGTTAAGACTCCATGCTCCCAGCGCAGGGGACTGGGTTCAATCCCTGGTAGGGGAACTAGATCCCACATGACTCAACTAAGACCCAGAGCAGCCCCTCCCCCCCCCCCCCAAAAAAAATCCTCAAACAAAAACCAAACCAAAAACTTCGGGGAGCATAGGACAAAGTGCTTAAAGAACTAAGAACCATTCTGGACTCCAGGAATCAGAGACAAATCCAGGTTTTATGGGGACTACATTTTGAAGCCCTCTGTAAGAAAACATGTAAAATTATGAGTATAGATTTAGGATGGAAATGAATATTTATTCAGAATGAAAAATCAGTTGCATCAAGCTAGCACTGCCTGCAGACTCCTGTCCTGTCCTTTTCTGTTTCTCTTTAAGCAATTTACCAACCTGCTTCCATAGGAGTGCTTCTTGGTGACACCCCTCCCGCCCCCCACCTCCCTCTGCTCCTAAAACATTCTGCTACCTGCCCTTGCTTGGGGGCAGACCCAAGCTTAAGCCTCATCAGTCGCATGGTAATTCCATTTCTGCCCAGAATGTATCCTGGGTCTCCTGCAATGACAGTAATAAGATAAATACCTCTTCTTTGCTTCCTCCATTTGTTTAAGGCTATAAATTACAAGGTATAAAGTGGAAGTGTTAGTCACTCAGTAGCGTCCAACTCTTTGCAGCCCCATGGACTGCCAGGCTCCTCTGTCCATGGAATTCTCCAGGCAAGAATACTGGAGCGGGTAGCCATTCCCTTCTCCAGGGGATCTTCCCAACCCAGAGACTGAACCTGGGTTTCCTGCATTGCCGGTGGATTCTTTACAAGGTATAGACTCACACAAACATTTACATCACTCAGGGCAATTCCTACCCCCCACCCCGCCTCTTTGCACCCCCTGAGAAGCTTGTGAAATGCAGATTCCTGAGTCCCACCTTCAGGGGTTCTGATTTTCTGTGTTTGAGTCAATAGATTCACACATTTCACTTGAGAGAGGGTTAATTTGACTAAGTGGGAATTCCCTGGCGGTCCAGTGGTTAGAATTTAGCACTTTCAGTGCTGGGGCCCAGGGTTCCATCCCTGGCCAGGGAACTAAAATTGTAAACAGTGCAGGAACCATCTAGATATTTATAAGTAAAGTGCACATGCAGAAAAATGGACAAATTATAGTTGCACAACCTGATTCATTATGATAAAATAGATATACTCATGGAAAGTGAAAAAGTGAAAAGTGTTGGTCACTCAGTCATGTCCTACTCTTTGTGACCCCATGGACTATAGCCCACCAGGCTCCTCTGTCCATGGTATTTCACAGGCAAGAATACTGGAGGTAGCCATTCCCTTCTCCAAAGGATCCTTCAAACCTAGGAACTGAACCCAAGTCTCAATCTGAGCCACCAGGGAAGCCCATACTCATGGAAACCACTCTGCAGATCAAGACACACAACATCAGCAGCCCTCCAAAAGTCTCCTTCCTGCTTGAGCAAAGAGGCCACACCCCAGTACCAGGGATGATGGGGGCTGGTCTGGGGGGAATGGGAAGTTAGCATTCAATGGGAACAGAGTTCCCTTTCTGCAAGATAAGAAGAGTTCTACAGATGGACAGTGGTGATGGTTGCCCAATAGTGTGAATGGATTTAATACCACTGAACTGCACACAGAAAAATGGTTGAGATACTAAATTTTATGTGGATTTTACCACCAAGCAATACATTGAAAGATACCATATCTGAGATGCCCTCAGCGGTTAAGGCTCTGCCTTCCAATGTAGGGGGTGCAAGTTAACGAAGGTCCCACATGCTGTGGGGTTTGGCCAATTTTTTTTTTTTTTTAAAGATACCACATTTGGAATTGGGGCAACTACTCAACTGAGTCCTCCAGGCTCCATCTGGTTTTCACAGTGACCAGTCTGGTCAATTAAATGAAGCTGTGACGCATCCCTTAGGTTTTTAAGTGTGGCAATAATTCTTGCCACTCTGGGAATCTAGGTTGTTTTGATTTACTATCTTGGTTGTGGGCTGTTTGGAAGTTTGCACTTTTTTTTTTTCAAATACTGTGTTAGTAATCCAGTGAAAACTTTAGCAATTTATGAATATATGTACTGTTAATTTGATATATGCTATTAGTAATTATCCATCCATTCCAAAATGAGCACTCTTTAAAAAAATGATACCTAATGACAGATGTATGTGATAGTGCTTTACTTCTAAACAAAGAATGACATAGAAAGGATTAAATTAATAGATATCTATTTTCCCACTATGCTTTCATTCATTTTTATCATATGTGTTTTCTCTACCTTTGTTTTCTCTTTGATTCCAGCTAAAAGCTTATTCTGAGGGATTTGGTTTAGGTCATACCTGAATGGTCCAGTGGTTTTTCCTACTTTCTTCAGTTTAAGTCTGAATTTTGCAATATGGAGGTCATGATCTGAGTCACAGTCAGCTCCTGGTCTTGTTTTTGTTAACTGTATAGAGTTTCTCCATCTTCGGCTGCAAATGATATAATCAATCCGATTTTGGTATTGACCATCTGGTGTTGTCCATGTGAAGAGTCATCTCTTGTGTTGTTGGAAGAGGGTATGTGCTATGACCAGTGCGTTCTCTTGGTAAAACTGTTAGCCTTTGCCCTGCTTAATTCCATACTCCAAAGCCAAACTTATCTGTTACTCCAGGTATCTCTTGACTTCCTACTTTTGCATTCCACTCCCCTATGATGAAAAGGACATCTTTTTTGGATGTTAGTTCTAGAAGGTCTTGTAGGTCTTCATAGAACCATTCAACTTCAGCTTCTTTGGCATTAGTGATTTGGGCATAGACTTGGATTATTGTGATATTGAATGCTTTGCCTTGGAAATGAACAGAG